ATGTTAATGCTGCAAGGTTTAACACTATAAAAGCAGCAACACTTACTTAACCAGCGTCCTATCATTATATGCTTTACTTTCTTTGCTGTTACAAGCAATGCTGCAATGAAATTGTACATATATCATAGAATAGATTCCTAGAAGTAAAATTGCTGGGTGGAAGGCAAGAGCACCTTTAGTTTAGAAATTTTTATTGCTGGAATATCATTGTCTCACATCTTCAAATAAGGGATCAAATTAAAAAACAAAATAAAAACCAACCATATATTAATTTCAGAGAAAAACAGTCATCTACGTTTTTTAAAGTCCAGAAATATTCATTTTGTGGTAACAAAAGAAGCAGTTCCAGAACTTCATACATTATTAGATCCAAATAGAAGATATAAAGAAGGTTATTTTGTCTTTAACAGATCTTTTTGTCTTGATAAGCAATTAAATCTGTCAGAGAAACAAAATACATACCGCTGCACAAACTGTGTGTTTCAGGAGTTGAAATACTATTTTGTCTGTATGAGATATCCAAGCTTTCTGTATTATTCGAGCTGAAATGTCTCTTTTTCTTCTGAGAGAAAAAAAGAGGTTAATATTTATGAAGTAGTTTTCAATTTCCTAAAATCTTGGAGAACTTTCAATTTATGTTTCCTCCTTCTGCACCTACCCATCCCCCGCTCTAAGTCTGACCTAATGAGGAACATTTGGATGTGGTCATTGGAACTGGTCATTTGCAGAATCTAGTCAGAATGAGGATATGAAATATTTGAGAACATTTCCCTTGAGATTAAAAAAAAATCCTGGATAAAACTTTTTCACCAAGAGACATATATATTATAAATTTATCATTGAGAGGCATATATATTATAAATAAAAAGTGTTAGGAGACAAGCTCACTTTCTAGAAACATTCATGACTTAAAATGATTCAGTCACAGTTAGTTCTTCAAGACACTGTCCAAATAGTTCAAGCGCTATGAAAATGGAATGTGGAATAGTCGAAATTACAGGAGGCCCAGTTCTTTTCTGGGGGCAGATGACTATTCCCTAGAAAAACAAATACCCGGCTGGTTGTAGTGCCTCAGGCCTGTACTCCTAGCATTTTGGGAGGCCAAGGTAGGAGGATTGCTTGAGGTCAGGAGTTTGAGACCAGCCTGTGCAACATAGCAAGACCTTGTCTTAAAAAGAAATAGGTGAGATGGTGATGTGCGGCTACAGTCCTACCTACTCAGGAAGTGGGAGGATCGCTTGAGCCCAGGAGGTCAAGGCTGCAGTGAGCTATGATGGTGCCGCTACCTTTCAGCCTGCTTGACAGAGCAAGACCCTGTCTCAAAAAAAGAAAAAGAAACTCCCTTCTCTGATCCTTGCTTGAACCAGATCATCCCGGTCAGGTCAGAGAATTATTCTACTTTTGTTCATGTCCCAGCACTGGCAGATTGCAGGAGTCTCTCTCTCCATACTCTCCCACCCCGTCAGTACCCTTTACAGGGTTATGTGCACGACAGGTACTCCTGCATAATGTCACTGTTGGCTAGCAAAATGCAGACTACAGTAGATGTAGAGAAGAAAAGGCCTGAAGTATTGAAAACAAACCCTTGAATCCTAGCTGATGCCATTTATTAGCTATTTAACCTTCTGCAAGCCACTTATTTTTTCCCAGTTGCTGCTTCCTCATTTATAAAATGTAATAATAAAACTGTTTCACAAGGTTGTGTCAGAATCAAATAGATGTGCATTAGCACACTTTGTAAATTAGAAGAAACTACAATCATCATCATCATTATTCAATTTAAAAGTAATTTTAAAACACCAAGACCTTCTGACTTACAAAACAAGAAATGTTTGAAGTTACCTGAGTAAATACTGTTTGGAAACTGTTCAGTCGTGGAAAATGACACAAGGCAAAAGATGGGAACTTACAATTGTTTTGAGCTTGTCTTTGCTAAAGGCACTTTTTGGCCTTTTCCTGATGGTTGATTATCTGATTTTGGAACGCCAGTACCTGTTGCTTTTGAGGAATGATTCATTTTCTTACAATGAAGTAATCTGAAAGTACAATAAATTAAGCCTTTGAGGTCATTATTTATATTATATATATATATTTTTTCCGAGTTGGAGTTTCACTCCGTCGCCCAGGCTGGAGTGCAGTGGCACACTCACAGCCATACCAGCGTCGACCTGCTGGGCTCCAGCGATCCTTCCGCCTTAGCCTTCTAAGCAGCCGGAACTACAGGTACATGCTACTGCGCCCAGCTAATTTTTTATTTATTGTAGAGACGAGGTCTCACCAAGTTGCCTGGGCTGGTTTCAAACCCGCGGGCTCAGGTAATCCACTTGCCTCGGCCTCCCAAAGTGTTGGGATTACAGGCTGAGCCACCAAGCCCAGCCCATTATTTATATTATTATACTATTTGGATAAGACTCAAGTGTCATATGTTGTGCTAATTCTGAACTCTTTAAAAAGGAGGGCATCATGGATCTCTTAATGTTGCTTACAATTTACTTTCTTTTTGTATGAAAAATATTATGGGTATGTGGGAAAGACAAATGAATCTATCCATAGCCTTCTAACTGGTCTCTGTATCCAGCCTCTTCCTCCTCCTATTCATCTCATCACTCCTTAGCTGTCACCCCAACAAACTCGTTGAGGTCAGGAGGCATCTTGCTAACTATGGTATCTTCTGTGCCTAGCAGAACAGAGAGTTTTTACATGCTTGTCTGAAAACTGTTTGTCTTGATTTTATCATCAAATGGTAGTGAGACTCTGGGCAAGCCACTCAACCTCTCACTGGTTCAGTTCCTTCCTTGATAAAGTGGGAGGGTGTGTACTAAACTCTCTGATTCTTTGAAGCATTACTCCAATTTGGATGCAGCTCCCAAATTCTTAATCACTGCTGAGTCTCTTTTTTCCCCCTTAGTCTCTTCTACTAAACCAGGGGCTCTTTAACTTTTCCTCTATTGACAGATCTCTTCTAAAATTATATTTTTAAAATGCATAACATAAAATACATAGGATTACAAAGGGCTCCAATTATATTAAAATCATCCAAATATTTTTGAAAACAAAATTATAGTAAATGTATCTTATTTAAGCATTAAACAAAAACTACTGTACTTTTGAAGTAGTAATGAGTATAAATGATATTGTGAGATATCTACCATGACTGGAATGTAATATGAAAATATCTGTGCTTAGCTGGGCTCAGTGAATCATGCCTGTAGTCCCAGCTACTTGGGAGACTGAGGCAGGAGGATTCCTTGAGCCCAGGAGTTGGAGGTTGCAGTAAACTATGATTGCGTCACTCCATTCCAGCCTGGGCAAGCAAAGGAGACCCAATGTCTTAAAAAAATAAATTATCTGTGCTCTCTATTGATGACAAAGTCACAGTCACAGGTTTTTCTAATACTACTATGGTTTGTTGCCTACCTTATAATTGAAAGAAATGCTAACGTTCAGTTAGGGGTTAGTAAAAAATTAAGTTATATGAACTCCTGCCCTAAGCCCGGTGCAGTGGCTCATACAAGTAATTCCAGCACTCTAGGAGGCTGAGGCAGGAGGACTGCTTGAGGACAGGAGTTTGACCAGCCTAGGCAACATAGTGTGACCCTCATCTCTACAAAAATTTTTTTAAAAAATTAAGGACGAGGCAGAAGAATCCCTTGAGCCCAGGAGTTCAAGGTTACAATGAGCTATGACCGCACCACTGCACTCTAGCCTGGGCGACAGTGAGACCCTGTCTCTCTAAACAACAACAACAACAACTTCTGCCCTCGTTTATCATATACTTCACACTTTTATATATGTGTAATGTTCAGAACCTTATGAGTCTATTCAATTTTCTCTGTGGGGATGGGAACAGTATGGAATATGGAATCCTCTTAATAGAAAAGCAACCCTCAAGATCTGGGAGCTGCCCTGGCACTCACAGCTGGGTCATTACCCTGGCTCCTTAACAACACTCAATGCAGAAGTAAAGCCCTGCTTCCTTCAATTTGCCCCCAAATTACCCAACTAAAGTCCAAATCCTATGATAAATCGTTCTAATACTTACTGAAATGCCCCACTGTTCCCCTAGATGTATATTTTTCTTGCAACAGTGAGGAAACTAACTTCTCCAACTACAGGTGTGTTCCGAATGATCTTGGCTAGAGGGCAGTGACACACCACTGCACAAATTCCCAAATTTCCACATGCGCACCTGGATGGGGATTATACTTTCTATTTATTGGGTTAGAACAGAAATACAGAATGAAATAGTAAATACACACTCATTATGACATAGTGCAACAATTATTTAGGGTAGAGCACAGGTTTCCAAGTCTACCTGGGTTTAGATTCTGGCTTCCCACTTACCCTGTGGCCTTGTACAAATTACTGAACTTCTCTGTGCCTCAATTTTTTCATCTATAGACTGGGAATAATAATCGTGCTCACCTACTTGGGTTGTTGGACAGATTAGATGAATATGAGTAAGGAGCTTAGATCAGAGCTCAGTATATCGTAAGTCCTGTATTAGTGCTTGCTAGTCTTGTTAATAAGCTAGTTATTGCCATTATTACTTCTACAAGTAATAAAGGACAAACATTTGATTCCCATTGAGAAACTGACACTTAAGCATCTTAAAGAGAAAAAGAAATCAGAGCCTTTTGTGATGAAAGAACCTGGCAAATGAGATTGAAATGTAAAACCTGAGAAAAGTCCAGCCCACAGTAAAAACCTAAAAACCTTTTGGGAGGTAGATCCAGGCCCCCAATCGGCGGCTTCCGGTTGCGAGGCTCTCAAAGCCGCCCGAGGCGCCCCAGGCGCCCCCTCCCGGCAGCCTCTGCGCACAAGGGTACCCAGCTCACGCCGCTGGGCGTCCAATCGTGGCGGCGAAAGCGGATTCTCAGCGCAGCGCTGCGTACTGCGCCTCCCTCCTCGCGCCCCCGCGTGCCGCCCACACAGAGTCAGCGCTTTCTTGCCGCCTAGCAACTGCCGGCGCAGGGGCGGGGCCTCTGGGAGGGCGGGGCTTGCGTTCGCCCGCCGCCCGGCGCCGGGGAGCGACGCTTTGCAGCTCAGCGTCGCCGCTTCCAACACGGGGTGGTTGAACTAAGCCTCCGTCGCATCAAGTGGGTTGTACTACCGGCACCCACAGCCACCCGCACCCCGGCCTGCTGGTGGTCGGAGAAATCAGGTCCCTACTGGGCCTCCGTAGTCACCTCTCCGTAGTGGGCGTGGCCGAGGCCGGGGTGACCCTGCCGGAGCCACCGCTGCCAGCGACATGTTCAAGGTGAGAGCGTAGAGCCGGGTTATAGCTGTCACCGCCCCCTCCCGGCCGTCCGGAGCCCTCCCCGCGCCCTCGTGGGGACCAGGCCGGGCTCATCCCGAGGCTTTTCCCGCCACCGGGCCGGCTGCGTCCCGGCTCCGAGGTTCATTCACCTGTCAGCTTGGGACTGGCGGCTGCCGGGTGGAGGCGTGAGACCCCAGGGTGGGTGGGGGCGGCCTTTTGGGTCATGCTCTTGTGAATAAAACACTTTGAAAGTTAAAGCGCCTCCCCACAAAGTACCCATCCCCTCGGCAGGTGCCCTCATGAGATCGTGGGTACGGTGAGGCCAGCTCAGGGCACTGCAGGGTTTGCGGCTTTGGTTGCCTGGCAGGGTCAGGTTTCAGAACCTGGTGTGGGTTGAGCGGAGGGTCACCTTCGGAGAAGTTGTGCCGGGTGTGGGGGAGGCTGGTGTGGAATGGCTGGGTAAGAAGGGAAACTGGAGCTTTGCTTCACTCCCCAGTGAACATTTTTTAATATAGACAAGTCGACCCCCTTCCTTCCGTTTTATGAACTTTAACTTAGCATTAAACCATTATTCTACTTTTGAAAAAGTAAGTTACATAAAATACATTGCAGGCAACCAAAAATTAATTTACAAAATTGAGTCTTCAGGAAGCACAGTACCCATACAATAGTGCTAATGAAATCTCAAAATTGTACTACTCATTTAAAAGTTGTGCTGAGTTCTTGCAATGTGCTTTTATAGGCTATAAAATCAGAGCATGGATTCTGCCTTCCAGTCCCGGCGTTGCCACTTTCTAGCTGTGTAACCTTGTACTAATCACTTGGGCCTCTCTAGGCCTGTTTTCTTATTGCTGAAATTGGGATAATAGCATCTACCTCATAGGGTTGTTATAAGGAGTAAGTAAATTGGTATGTGTAAAGCACTTGTATTTGTTTTTATTCTGTTTTCAGGCAGCTCACAGTTTAGTCAGGAAGACAGCTCCCATAATCAGCTTTCATTGATTTGATAAATTTGTGTTAAACATCTATTACGTGCTAGGAGCTCAGGTCAGTTTTAGGACTACAACAGTTTATATGGGTACCACAATGTAGTATGGTAGTGAAAAGAACAGAATCTACATAACTTAACCAGGAGTTCTTAACCTGGGGTCTTCAGCCTCTCAAAGGGTCTGCAGATAGGGTATCTCTGAAAATAAGTGAAGAAATAATTATTTTCACCAACCTCCAACTGAAATTGAGCATTTCCTTCAGTAATGAATATGGGTAACTGTTTTAAATCTCTCTTGTTGGGTAAGGAACCACTGCAAACCAGTGCCTTAAAACAATAATGATTTATTATTTCTCACAATCTACTAGTTGGCTGGGCTGTTCTGCTGGCATCCCCAGTAGCTGAATTCAGCTGGTGGCTTGACTGAAAGGTGGCCTCCCTCCCATGTCTGGGGGCTTGGTTCCCCTCCATGTACCTAGCTTGAACTTCCTCACATGGTTACTGGGTTCCAAGAGGGCAAGACCCAATGCACAGACACTTACCTGCCTCACATTTGCTAATGTCAAAACCAATCACAGCCCAGTCCAGAGTTGATGTGATGGGAGGACTACATAAGGGCATGGATATAAGGAGGTATGGTGGGTTAATTGTTGGTCATTAATTTAACAGGTTCCCACAGCAGCAAACCACAGTTGTATTAGAACCTGTCACCAATAGAAGTCACAGTACCAGTGCAAGTCACATTTTCAGATCACATTACAGTTGTTGCAGATTTCAAAATACTTATGCTCATCACTACTTAAGAATTGTAGTAGATAAAACCCACTGCTAGATCTTTTTATTTAGAGTTAATAAAGAAGCACATATTACTATATTAGAAATTTGAGTTTTAAAAATAAAACTATGTCAATATAATTTTCATTTTATTGTGTACAGTTAGAAGCATTCTTTTGAGAAGGGATCCACAGTGCTCACAGACTGCCAAAGAGGTCCATGGTGCAGAAAAGGAAAGGAAGCTCTGGGGACTTCAGGGGAGGCCTCACAGAGGAGATACTAAAATTCAGTTTTGGAAGACAATTAGTTCTTCAGGTATATGAGCTGGGGAACATCAGCAATAGTATTCCATTGGGAGAAGTGCTGGTAACTCATTTTTGATATGTCAAAGGAAGCATACAGTGAGCTGGAATTATTTCCGGTGACATGTACTTTGGGTAGAAAAGGTCACAACAGGGCAACCCCCCCTGGGGTCCCCTCCCACTGGGAGCTTTTCTGTCCTCTCAATAAAAAGAGAAAAGATCACAACAAATCTTGGAGGACATCAAGAATGTAAGGAGTAGGCAGAGGAAGAGAGGAAGCCGGAGTTTTGAGAAGTAGAAGTAGGAACAAAAAAGAGTGATGTTTAGAAAGTCAAGGGAGGAAAGTTCAAGGAGAGCAGGCTGTGTTAAGATGCTTTCAGCTGGGAAAACCCAATTGCTTAAATAGTAAGAAGAAATATCATGAAGTCCATAGGAAGGATGGACTCCAGGGTTGTTGATTCGGTGGGTCAACAGTGTCATCAAGGACCTGTCTCTTGGCCTTCCACAGTAAGATTGGTTTCCCTTAGGGTTGCAAGATGACTGCCAGTAACATACACACTCTCATTCACTAGTGCAAGAGGAGGAGAGGGGACAAAGCTCCCATGCTTGGATTATACTCTTCCTCCAGTGTGATTGGAACCAACTTAGGTCAGGTGTCTGCCCCTGACCTGATAATAGTTGTGAGGGGAATGCCATGCTCTGATTGGCTGGGTTTAAACAGGATCAGCTCAGGATGGGGTCACTTAACCTTAATCACAGGGGAGAGGAATGAATTCATGAACACAATGGGGTTCTTTTAGGAAGGAAGAGGGGAATGGAGACTGGATATGCAACCAGCAATGTCCATTAAGAGATTTAAGTTAGATGAGTTTGGAGAAGTGTTCGTTGATTTGGGCACTTTGGAAAGCTTTCATGATTCTTATACATATAGGTTTACTGATGGAAGTGAAAGATTAACTTGGTGACTGAGGGGTGAGTAAATGGATACAATGGTGGTTGATAAGCTTGACAAGGGAAGGAGAGAGAATATGGTAACTAGAAGGAAATGTTGGGTCAAGGTTCTAGAGTTATTTTATGGTTGTTACAGTATTCAAGATTTGGTAGTGTTTATGGTCTAGGGAGGAGTGTACAAAGAGCTTTTACAAGAGAGAATCACTCAGCTTTAAAAGGCCAGGCGTGGTGACTCACACCTATAATCCCAGTACTTTGGGAGGCTGAGGTGGGAGGATTGCGTGAACCCAGGAGTTCAAGACCAGCCTGGGTAACATAGTGATACCTCATCTCTACACACACACACACACACACACACACACACACACACACACACACACACACACACACTAGCCAGGTGTGGTGATGTGGACTTGTAGTCCCAGCTAGCCAGGAGGCTGAGAAGTGAGGATTGCTTGAACCCAGGAGTTAGAGGCTGCAATGAGCCATGATCGTGCCACAGCACTTCAGTCTGGGTACAGAGTGAGACCTCGACTCAAAAAAAAGAAGGCAGGGGAGAGGAGAGAGATATTTCCACTTGTGACATGGAAGGAATGGAAAGGTGTGAGGGATTTCTACCAGCAGATTTCTACTGGGTGGTTCTTCACTCCCTTAGGGTATGTTTTGGAAACTCAAGGGGTTGTTCTTTATGCCTTTAGCTGCGTTGAACATATTTGTACTGAAATATAATTCATAGAAATCTTTCCTTTTTATTCACCTTTATGTGCCATCATATTATGTTAATATCTTTGCCTTTTTGGACCTATCCATATAGATTGATGATGAATTTCAGGATAGCAAAAGAGCATTACATAATATTTGTCATAAAATGACAGTGTTAGGTCTATTAATTGCGAACCAGTGCTTGTCAAACTTTAATGTACTTATGACTCTTGTTAAAATGAAGATTCCAATTCAGTGGGTCTGGGTTGGGACCTCAGATTCTTCACTTTTTAACAAGCTTCTGCATGCTTTAGATGCTGCAGATCCCCTAATCACATGTTGAATAGCAAGAATTGAGGCAATCAGTAGATGAATGGTTTCTTGTGCTTTTGAGGTGGATGGTTTTTGCGCATGGTGGGATTTGGAAGAGGCATTGACCAAAGAACAAAAAAGATAGGCCAGATCCTTGGGGGGCTCTGCTGAGAGCACTCTTCTTGCAAGTCTGTGCCAAGTGGGATTGGAGCAAATGGTAGGATTGATCTGGGTTTGGGTGTTAACAGCTTGAGTCAACTGGGACTGGAGGGCAAAGGAATTGATAGTATAGGTAGTGGTGGAGTACAATGTATCTCACTAGTTATGTGCATATTTATTTATTTATTTATTTATTTATTTATTTTGAGTTGGAGTCTCACTCGGTCGGCCAGACTGGAGTGCAGTGGCCGCTTCCGGCCACCGCAGCCTCGCCTGCTGGGCTCCAGCGATCCTTCCGCCTCAGCCTTCTGAGTAGCCGGAATTACAGGCATGTGCTACCACGCCTGGCTGATTTTTTGATTTTTATTGTAGAGATGAGGTCTTGCTGCCCAGGCAGGTCTCGAACCCGCGGGCTCAGGCAATCCACTCACCTCAGCCTCCCAAAGGCGTGGGATTACAGGCTGAGCCACCCAGCCGGCATGTGCATATTTAATTAAAATGTTTAACTGAACCATTGTTTTGATTTAGCTATTAATCTTTGGGTCAGTAGGGGGCACTGGTGGATTAAAAAAAACACATTTGAAAAGCTGCCCAGTATTTGCATAGGAAGCAACTTTTCCTTGTGCTGCTGCAGGAAGTTGGAATATTGAATATATATACCCAGTCCCCATATACTAGATCTTCATTACACAAATTTTATCACAGTCCAACTATGGGCTGTGTATCATGCTGACCCTGGGGGAGCGGCAAGTAAAAAAAAACATTTATTTTATTTTACTTATTTCAGTAGCTTTAGGAGGTACAGAGTATTG